CAATAATTCTGACCGCAAGGCCACTGCTGCCCACCAAACCAACAGCGCAGAGACCCCTAATCATGCGGATGACATTTTCGCAGCAGCAACGGGAGAAAAAAATACCGGCCATAATGACGACAGTAATGTCGCCGCCTCTACAACCGTGGAAAAACGTAAATATGCTGTGAAAAAAATCGCTGCACATGTTGCCGATGTGCAACATCCTGCAGCAGCAGCAACCTCCACCAAAACCACAGTCACCATCGACACCACCAAGGACGTCGGACAAATCAGCAACCAGCAGCCGCCAGTGCAAACGCACGTTGAAGGTGCCGGCGACATTGCTGCCGCACCGCCCACCATTGTTGTGAGCAGACAACGCTTGCGACAAAAATCACGCATTCGACCACAAATTCAGCATAAACGCGAACGGCAGCAACAGCGGCAACGCGAGCGTGAGCGTTTGGTACAGACACAGCGTGTTTATTGGACCGAAAGCGCAGCTACCACTACAGATGATGATGATTCGTCGGCAGGAAGTTTAGCTGTCAAAAAACAGCACTACAACCAGGTATCTTAGCAGCAGCGCTCGGCATAGGCAAACCAAAAAGAAAAACAAGAAAAATTGCAATTAAAAACCAAAACAAAAAACAATATGGTACTGACAGGAGTGCGGTAACCATTAGTAGCATAGCGGTCGGCTTAATTTGGAAATTGCTTTTGTGGTGGGGGGCAAAGTTAAGTGATGGCGCGGTGCAGGAGAGTCGGCGCTCATACGTCGCATTATTGATTCTCAATGCTGCAATAATACGAGTACAATAGCCCTCCCCTCATCCCAAAAAACGGTGCTTACGCTCCCACACACGAACACACGTAGGCTACTATTGTGCACATACATACACTCAACTATACATATGAACATACATTTTTATATATATATACATAAGTACTTATGCAGTCTATTAGTAAAGGCAAAAAAAGTAGTTGCGCATAGCTTGTTGCTCGCAGTTTCTTACATGGCTGCNACTATTGTGCACATACATACACTCAACTATACATATGTACATACCCGGCAAGACAGCTGAGTATCATATGAGTACTCATATTATCATTATCCCTAATCACAAGTGCTTATCAAAGTCCTCATTTTCGTTCAGGCCATGGGTAAAAATTGAGTACTTTCCCCTCAGTGTTGTCATCAGAAAGTCCTCAGTACTAATAGTCAAACTACTCATTTATGCCGTACTACAAAAACAAAAGTGTAAATGTGTGAGAATTTTTGCCTAAAGTGCTCAGCAATGTCTTGTAGGGTATATTTTTATATATACATGCATACATAAGTACTTATGCAGTCTATCAGTAAAGGCAAAAAAGTAGTTGCGCATAGCTTGTTGCTCGCAGTTTCTTACATGGCTGCACTTGGCATTTTATGCAAATTGTGCGGTTAAATGCAAGCGCGGTCACCCTCCGCTATACCTCTCATCCGATCTCTGCATCAATGCTTTACATATGTTTGTCGTTTGTACGTGCTGCAAGCATTTTCTTTTTTCTTGTGCTTTTAGTTTTTGCTTAATAATGCTGGTGCAATTTAATCGCNTATATATACATGCATACATAAGTACTTATGCAGTCTATCAGTAAAGGCAAAAAAGTAGTTGCGCATAGCTTGTTGCTCGCAGTTTCTTACATGGCTGCACTTGGCATTTTATGCAAATTGTGCGGTTAAATGCAAGCGCGGTCACCCTCCGCTATACCTCTCATCCCATCGGTGCATCAATGCTTTACATATGTTTGTCGTTTGTACGTGCTGCAAGCATTTTCTTTTTTCTTGTGCTTTTAGTTTTTGCTTAATAATGCTGGTGCAATTTAATCGCTCACTCCTTCGTTGCTGTGGTTCTGGAGGTTAAAGCAAATTTGTTGTGCTTTAAACATTTATATAAATATTTTTTTACCTTTATTTTTGATAAAAAAAAAATATAGATGCATACTTACTTGCATTGCTGTTAAGTAGTTAGTTAGCTAGCTGTGCTNCATCGGTGCATCAATGCTTTACATATGTTTGTGGTTTGTACGTGCTGCAAGCATTTTTTTTTTTTCTTCTTTCTTGTGCTTTTAGTTTTTGCTTAATAATGCTGGTGCAATTTAATCGCTCACTCCTTCGTTGCTGTGGTTCTGGAGGTTAAAGCAAATTTGTTGTGCTTTAAACATTTATATAAATATTTTTTTACCTTTATTTTTGATAAAAAAAAAATATAGATGCATACTTACTTGCATTGCTGTTAAGTAGTTAGTTAGCTAGCTGTGCTTGGGCATAACAGAACAAGGGACATATGACCTGAGCTCGAATCGTAATTCGGTATGATGGCAGTCGTGAACAAGCGACTGAACACAATCGTTCATTCGAACAACTTTTCGATCACAAAAGGAAAATCGAATGCGTGCGAAATACGAAAAATATTATAAAATTTGTAATCTTAATTTCTAAACTTCTTTAAGTTATCTTCAATATGTGAACCACGATTTATTGTATTCGAAGCTGCACTTTTGAGGAAGCATCCACACTCGAAATTTTTAGCAGAAATTGCATTTGAACAAAAAAAAACTGTTCAAAGTTTCAAAAACTACTTGTATATAGTTACTATGTATTAGCGCTCAAATTTTTATTTTGTTTTTTAACCTTTTGGACTGCAAACGTCGTGAATAAAAACTCAATTTATTTTGTATATAAAACTTTTTTTTTTGCTGGACTAAGCATGGGTGGAAAAATTTTTTGTTAAAACTTATTATGAGTAAAATAATTTAAATCNCAGCAGAAATTGCATTTGAACAAAAAAAAACTGTTCAAAGTTTCAAAAACTACTTGTATATAGTTACTATATATTTGCGCTCAAATTTTTATTTTGTTTTTTAACCTTTTTGACTGCAAACGTCGTGAATAAAAACTAAATTTATTTTGTATATAAAACTTTTTTTTTGCTGGACTAAGCATTGGTGGAAAAATTTTTTGTTAAAACTTATTATGAGTAAAATAATTTAAATCAGAATTTAATCATTACTTTATGATTTTTATTAGTATTATTTATTTCCTGCCCCTATTATTGTTTATTTATACATCGAGTTTCATCTTAATACCTTGATTTTTTGACAAAAGATTGAATTTTTTTCCTAAAAGTTGCAGTAAGAAATTCGATAATTTGTACTCTTATTTTTTAAGCAATAATATATGTATAAAAGGCAAAATTTACGCTTTATATTTTGAAGAGAAAACAGGCGGTATTTTGATTTTATTTTTTAGGCGCTACCCATGCGTGAAAATTTCTTTATGAATTTCCCAAAATGTTCTAAATAATAAATGAATGAAAATATGTACACTAAAAATCCAGAAAAGTCATNTAGCCGGTATTTTGATTTTATTCTTTAGGCACTACCCATGCGTGAAAATTTCTTTATGAATTTCTGGCTCATGCACTTCTCAATCGCCATATAATAAAGCTGGTATAAGTAAAATAAAGATTTAAATTTCCCGTAGAAATCCCAAAATGTCGTAAATAATAAATGAATGAAAATATGTACACTAAAAATCCAGAAAAGTCATATAAGTAACACATAAAACCTTGAAAGGTTTCAAAAAGTGTATGTAAATTGCCATAGGCTCCAAAAACAATAAAAAAAAAACAGTCCAAAACTGATAAAAATATTACGAGAATTTGCCCAAAAAGAAACGAATCATTTCTTTTTCTATTGATACTTAAAAACTAAANTATAAGTAACACATAAAACCTTGAAAGGTTTCAAAAAGTGTATGTAAATTGCCATAGGCTCCAAAAACAATAAAAAAAAAACAGTCCAAAACTGATAAAAATATTACGAGAATTTGCCCAAAAAGAAACGAATCATTTCTTTTTCTATTGATACTTAAAAACTAAAAAATTAAATATTCTTTTTGAAGTCATAATGAAATTGTATCCAAATCTGAGAATTTTACAGGCGCTGCAGCTAAAAAGTTTTAATATATGGGCAGTATCCCCTATTTCATTGGGCATTGGAAATTACACAATTGTTTGCTTAATTATCTAGGGCAATCGGTTTACTTGGGCTCTCTCAATAAAAGGGTTTAGATTGCATTTAAGCTGTATTACACTGTGGTTACTGGCTTACACAACACCGCACACGTAGAAAACGACATATGCACATACATACATACATACAGAGTGGAGCATTATTCGAACAAATTGTTATTTAGATAATAATTCCAATAAAATTTTATGCCCAGTATGCTAAGTATTCGCAATTAATCCATGCACGAATCGAATNTTAGATAATAATTCTAATAAAATTTTATGCCCAGTATGCTAAGTATTCGCAATTAATCCATGCACGAATCGAATATTCGTGAATAAATTGCTTATAAATAAATTATTCGTGTTTTTGATCGTTATTTATTCATCATTCGAATATTTTTTTTTTAATAAACTTTGGGTTGTTCACACTTGCCTGGTTATCAGGTTATGTGGTTAAAAATTATTATTCTGTAGTGTATGTTATTGTTGTAAACTGAGTAAAAAATATAACCATATAACCAGATAACCAGGCAACTGTGAACAACCCAATTATTTATTTATCATTTACGAATAACGAAAACAACAATAAGCTTNAGATAACCTGATAACCAGGCAACTGTGAACAACCCAATTATTTATTTATCATTTACGAATAACGAAAACAACAATAAGCTTTTTGTATTGATTATTTAAGTAAATTTTGCCCAACTCTTTATACATATCTACTATGTACATAGTAAAGTTTTACTTACATACATGTAATACAATATTTATTCAAGTGTTCAACCAATTTCCCCTGCCAAACAATGTTTTCCCCTTAGCTGTTCGTTTTATTTGGCTACACGCCAAAAATAACATAAGCCCACAAATAAGAAAATAACCACAGAATGCACAAATGTTTGGGTATCTCAAATAAACTTTCACTCTTTATCTCCTGCCACAGTATGCCGCTCAAGTTGCTGCCAGTGCCAATGCCAATGCCAATTCCAATGCCAATGTCAACACAAACTCCAATGCAGGTGTCAACATCGCTCATTCTAAGCATCTGTCTAAGCGTGTAGAAAATCAAAACTTTGGTTATTCCGCTCCATCACCAATCCCCGACATGAACCTGAATATTGGACCAGATGTGGTGACGAGCGCCTTGCAAGTAAGTTCCTGTAGAAGAAATTGCTGCTTTTCTTTTAAACCTTAACTACTTACATACCGTACCTAATTTTAATTCTATTTGCAATTTTAATTTCTTCTTTTATTCGAATAGATACCAATCGGAATTTTGCGATCACTTCAAGAAACCTTGGGTAACTTGGGCGCTTCAAAACAAGCTTCCGTTTCACTGAATCACTAAGCGCCGATGGAGTATGTATGTATGTACATAATTTTGTGCGTGCAAACGGCGATTATGCATTCGATAATATATGTATTTAATGATGTATACAAAATAAAATAAATAATACGATTATCAATAAATTTTTTTAAAGATTTCGTTAAAGACCTTTTTATTCCTCACATCAGATCTGCATCGTTATTTT